GTCAGACAGAAATTACAACGTATTTCTGTAAAGTTCTACTGAGTGTGTGCCCGCCTAACCTGCCTCCTCTTCTACCTCTGCCACCCCTGAAACAGCAAGACCAGCTGCTCCTCCCCCTCCTCCCCCAACACCTCCTCCTCCCCCCTCCTCTGCCTCCTCCCCCCACCTCCTCCTCCAACTCCTCCGCCTCCCCCTCCTCCACAGGAAGAGGACAAGCATGAAGACCTTTATGATGATCCACTTCCACTCGATGAACAGTAGATAATCATGCTGTACAGTCACTAAACTTATCTACTGTGTATGTGTGTATGTCTGTGTGTGAAAATCTATTAACTCTGCGTCATCACCATTTCATCACTGCCCAAGTATCCACTGTATAGAACATTGTGTGCAACACGTGTATGGAAGTGGACAGACTATCCTTACAAACGCAGTGATAGGTAATAAAATTAATAACATGTTAGTTTTCTTCCTGTTTTATAACTCTGCTTTCAAAGAGTTACATTACAGTACAGGCTGCCCTCTCTCCCCTAAGCAGAGAAACTGCTTATCAGCCTTTCATCACAGGTTTTTTTTTTTTTTTATAATGTAACAGTGTTTTTTTTTAATTTAATTTTATTATGTTATGTTAGTCACCGTACAATACATCACCAGTTTTCGACGCAGTGATCCACAATTCATTGTTTCCATACAACACCCAGAGCTCCATGCAGTACGTGCCCTCTTTAATACGCATCACCAGGCTAACCCATCCCCCCACCCCCCTCCCCTCTAAAACCCTCAGTTTGTTTCTCAGAGTCCAGTCTGTCATGGTTCGTCTCCGCCTCCGATTTCCCCTTCATTTTTCCCTTCCTTCTCCTAATGTCCTCCATGCTATTCCTTATGTTCCACAAATAAGTGAAACCATGTAATTAACTTTCTCTGCTTGACTTATTTCACTTAGCATGATCTCCTCCAGTCCCATCCATGTTAATGTAAAAGTTGGGTATTCATCCTTTCTGATGGCTGAGTAATATTCCATTGTATATAGAGACCACATCTTTATCCATTCATCTGTTGAAGGGCATCTTGGCTCTTCCCACAGTTTGGCTATTGCGGACATTGCTGCTATGAACATTGGGGTGCATATGGCCCTTCTTTTCACTACATACCCAGGAGTGCAATTGCTGGGTCATAGGGTAGCTCTGTTTTTAATTTTTTGAGGAATCTCCACAGTGTTTTCCAAAGTGGTTGTACCAACTTGCAGTCCCACCAACAGTTTAAGAGGGTTCCCCTTTCTCCACAACCTCTCCAACATTTGTTTCTTGCCTTTTCAATTTTTGCCATTCTAACTGGTGTAAGGTGGTATCTCAGTGTGGTTTTGATTTGAATTTCCCTGATGGCTAATGATGATGAATATTTTTTCATGTGTCTGTTAGCCATTTGTATGTCTTCTTCAGAGAAGTGTCTGTTTGTGTCTTCTGACCATTTTTTGACTTGATTATTTGTTTTTTGGGTGTTGAGTTTGAGAAGTTCTTTATAGATCTTGGATACCAGCCCTTTATCTATAGTGTCTTCTGTAAATATCTTCTCCCATTCTGTGGGTTGCCTCTTTGTTCTGTTGACTGTTTCCTTTGCTGTGCAGAAGCTTTTTATCTTGATGAAGTCCCAAAAGTTCATTTTTGCTTTTGTTTCACTAGCCTTTGGAGATGTATCTTGAAAGAAGTTGCTGTGGCCCATGTCAAAATGTTACTGCCTATGTTCTCCTCTAAGATTTTGATGGATTCCTGTCTCACATTGTGGTCTTTCATCCATTTTGAGTTTATCTTTGTGTATGGTGTTAGAGAATGGTCGAGTTTCATTCTTCTGTATACAGCTGTCCAATTTTCCCAGCACCATTTATTGAAGAGACTGTCTTTTTTCCATTGCATATCTTTTCCTGCTTTGTTGAAGATTATTTGACCATAGAGTTGAGGGTCCATATCGCAAAGCTGGGGGGCATCACGTTGCCCGATTTCAAGCTATATTACAAAGCAGTGATCACCAAGACAGCACAGCACTGGCACAAAAACAGACATATAGGCCAATGGAACAGAATAGAGAGCCCAGATATGGACCCTCAACTCTATGGTCAAATGTTTTCAATCAGTATCATGAAATAGAACTGTAACACTCTCTGCCATAACCATTCATTCATTACTATGCAGGCTAGGTGACTGGGAAGCAATTACATTGATTACACTGGGCCACCATAAAGCAACCATATTGTTGCTTCTTTGTTATCAATGCATGGAGAGTTATACCTTTAAATAAATACAAATTTTCACATTATCCTTTCATTTTTGATGTCGGTGTTAATAATATGTGTAACATCTTCAGTGTTCTATGTATCACATAAGACCGTAATGATGGAGGTACACACAGATGATTTGTCTTGTACACAGATGCTGTAAACTGACAATATTTTTGTTTTTTTTAAAGATTTTTTATTATTTATTTATTTGAGAGAGAGAGAATGAGAGACAGAGAGCATGAGAGGGAGGAGGGTCAGAGGGAGAACCAGACTCCCCGGTGAGCAGGGAGCCCGATGTGGGACTCAATCCCGGGACTCCAGGATCATGACCCGAGCCGAAAGCAGTGGCTTAACCAACTGAGCCACCCAGGCGCCCTGTAAACTGACAATATTGATAAATATAGTACAGTACTCTAAATGTATTTTCTCTTATTTTTCTTAGTAACATTTTTGTTTCTCCAGCTTACTTTATTGTAAGAGAAGAGTATATAATACATATAACATACAAAATATGTGTTAATCACTATTGAGGTTATCAGTAAGGCTTCTAGTTAACAGTAGGCTGTTATTGTTAAGTGGTTGGGGGAGTCCAAAGTGATAACATAGATTTCCAACTGCATGGACTGGGGGTTGGCACCCCTAACCTCTGTGTTGTTCAAGAATCAACTGCATAGGGTGCCTGGGTGGCTCAGTCGTTAAGCGTCTGCCTTCGGCTCAGGTCATGATCCCAGGGTCCTGGGATCGAGTCCTGCATCGGGCTCCCTGCTCTGCAGGGAGTCTGCTTCTCCCTCTCCCACTCCCCCTGCTTGTGTTCCTGCTCTCGCTATCTCTCTCTCTGTCAAATAAATAAAATAAAATCTTTAAAAAAAAAAAAGAATCAACTGCATATGTTATATACAAACTATTTTATAATTATCTTTCTTTTACTTAAAAATTTATCATAAACGTCTTTCCATGTCTATGAAAATACTTCTGTAATGTAGCGAATAATATCACATGGTATTCTCTTATATAAAGGTCCCATAATTTAATAAACTCTATATTCATAGAAATTCAATTTTTTCCTTCCTATTTGTAAAAAAGTTACTTATTTTAGAGAGAGAGATAGAGCACGAGCAGGGGGAAGGAGAGGGAGGGAGGAAGGGAGGGGGGAGAGAGAGAGAGAGAGAGAGAGAAGCAGACACTCCCAATGAGTGCAGAGCCTGACATGGGGCTCAATCTCATGACCCTGAAATCATGACCTGAGCCGAAATCAAGTCAGACACTCAACTGACTGAGCCCCTCAGGGACCCCTTTTTCTTCCTATTTTTAAAACAGTGCTTGAAGGAACAGCCTTTTAACTGAGTTGGTGCATGTATACTTGAATATTTTCCTACAATAGGGTAGAACTGTCTTCTGAACGCCCTTTGTCAATTTTCCTTCTGTTCTTTGTTGATTTTGAAGAGTTTTTTAAAAAAAATATGCTAAGGGTATTAATTCTTTATCTGTCATATATTTTATGAAATTCCTCATCTTGGGTTATTATTTGTTGTTAGATTTTGCTTATGGTGCGTTTTTTCTCTTTGATGTGTATCATTTCAAAGTTTTTATTATTAAAATTTATTTCAGAATGTTTTCTGATTCTGTTACTCAGGATAAAAAGTCATTCCTTAACCATGAATATATATCTATATGTGTTTGGTATAATGAGCCTTTATTTTTTTATAATTAAAAATCTACAGAATTCTGAGTCTCACTCTCCCACGGTGACAATTCTGTAAGGGCACCATGATACAGCTGGAACGCCTCACTTCCGGCACACACACTTCACTGTGCCTGACTGAGAGAACAGCGGTCTTCGTACATTCCTTCCCCCACCAGAAAACATCGTCATTTAAACAAATGTGCCTCACTGGCCTGTCTTGGTAGAAAAGCGACCCTTCCTTGTTTCACATTCTAATGTATCTCCCTCTGGTGCCGAGGGATTATTCTCTCTCTAAAGGTCTCTAAATCCTGCGTTTTCCACTGCTTGCTGTCCAGCTTTTCCTTTCCTTTGAAGTACAGCTTCTTGGAGAAACAGTTTATTCTGAGCATCTTTTCCTTTGCACTGGAGACAATCAGATTCATGCTTCCAGGACTCTCAACCAAACTCTCCTCTTGCAAGTCATAAATGGCCTCTTGGCTGCAAATCCCAAAAGGGCACTTTTCAGTCTGTATTTTACTTCTCCTCCCTTTAGCATTTGTCACCGTTTAATTATTTTTAATTGCAGTATAATTAACTGCATAGTATTAGTTCCAGGGCTACACTGCAGTGGTTCGATGACGCTATCCATTCATTATGCAATGGCCATGCTAAGTGGAGTTTCCAGCTGTCACTAACAATGACAGCACATTATTTTTTTTATTTTTATTTTTTTTAAAGATTTTATTTATTTATTTGACAGAGAGAGACAGTGAGAGCAGGAACACAAGCAGGGGGAGTGGGAGAGGGAGAAGCAGGCTTCCCGCGGAGCAGGGAGCCCGATGCGGGGCTCGATCCCAGGACCCTGGGATCATGACCTGAGCCAAAGGCAGACGCTTAACGACTGAGCCACCCAGGCGCCCCATGACAGCACATTATTGACTATATTCCCTATGCTGTACTTTTCATCTCCAGGACTTATTTGGCATTTGTCGTGGTTGACCATGCCTTCCCCAAATCTTTCTCCCCTGACTCTATGATACAACTTTCTCTGGGTTTTCCTCTTACCTCTATTAGGGTGACTTTTCTGCTGGTTTGCTCATTCTTCTTCACGTGCATATCCACTATGTGTCCTCGGTCCTCATGGCTCCGCTCTTTGCCCACTTCAGAACTAAAGGAGGGAAAGGTAAGAAACAAAAGCCTGTAAGAAAGCTGCTGCAACAGCTCACAGGAGGCTCTGATTTAGGTCGGGGCAGTGGAAAGAGAGAGGGGAGATCGACAGGAGGACCTGAAAGAACAACATTTGACACACTATATAAGTGATTATGTTGGGGGGTGAGAGGCAGGGAGTTGTTCAAAATAATGTAGAGACATGAACTTCTACCTGGTTGGGCTCCTTCTTACTATGATGAAGGGACAGAATAAAATCAATTTTGCTTCTCTCAGAAAAATATTAGATGTCTGGGAAAAACCAGAAAGCTTTTTATCAAAAAATCAATAAAAGTTTTTATCAAATTAGATGGAAAAATGTGTGTGTGTGTGCACGCGTGTGCAGGTATATAGAAATAACAGGAAATTTCTTAGTGACAGAGAGAAAGGTGAAGGAAGTTTATGCATAAGAAAGCTGTCATATGATCCAGGAATTCCACTACTGGGTATTTACACAAAGAAAATGAAACACTAATTTGAAGAGATATATACCTCTATATTTACTGCAGCATTATTTACAACAGCCAAGATATGGAAGTAACCCAAGTGTCCACTGATAGATGAATAAAGAAGATGTGGTGTGTATATATATACAATGGAATACTACTCAGCCATAAAAAAGAACAACATCTTTCCATTTGTGACAACATGGATGCACCTAGAGGGTATTATGCTAAGTGAAATAAGTCAGAGAAAGACAGATACCAAATACACTTACATGTGGAATATAAAAAACAAAACAAATGAACAAACAAACAAAAAGCAGAATCAGACCTAGAATACAGAGAACCAATGGTTGCCTGAGCAGAGGGGAGTGGGAGATACAGGATCCCAGTTCTGGAATGAATAGTCACGGAAAGAAAAGGTATAGTATAGGAGGTACAGTCAATGAGACTGTAATAGTGTTCTGTGGTGAGATGGGACCTACCCTTGTGGCAAGCACAGTGTAATGTATGGACTTATCAAATCACTATGCTGTATACCTGAAACTAATGAAACACCGTGTGGCAACTCTACTCAAAAAAATAAATAAATAAAGCTGTGATATTCTGGGGGCACCTGGGTGGCTCAGTCGTTAGGCGTCTGCCTTCGGCTCAGGTCATGATCCCGGGGTCCTGGGATCGAGCCCCGCATCGGGCTCCCTGCTCGGCGGGGAGCCTGCTAGCTTGTGTTCCCTCTCTCGCTGTCTCTCTCTCTCTCTGTCAAAATAAATAAATAAAATCTTAAAAAAAAAAAAAAAAAAAAAGCTGTGATATTCTGACCTGTGGGATGTGGAATGCAGCTTTTTAAACAGTTCAACAGTAGGAGAAAATATAAAACAAATACTTTGTGAATGAGTGCATAGTAGTGTAAATAATGTTAGGAGAAAGAAAATACAAAAACAATGACAAAAGGGAAATTTAAAGAGTGGAAGACAGTGTCTCCCTTCTAGAATATCTGGGAATGGTGAAAGAATTTGTCACAGATGCAAGAATTTCAAAATCAAGTAATATATAGAATTGAATAGCTATTGCTATGAACTAAAAACTGTGTTCTCTCAAAACTCACAGGGTGAAGCCCTAATCCCCAAAGTGGAAGCAGGGACTTTAAGGAGGTTAATTCAAGTTAAATGAGGCCATAGGGGGAGGCTCTAACCTACGGGAAGTGGTAGTCCTTATAAGAGAAGAGACAGCACAGAGCTCTCTTTCTCCACACACACACAGAAGGCCACGTGAGGACACAGTGGGAAGGTGGCCATCTGCAAGCTGGGAAGAGAGGCTTCACCAAAAATCAACCCTGCTGGAACCTTGATTTTGAACTTCCAGCCTCCAGAACTGAAAAACTAAATTTCTGTTGCTTAAGGGACCCAGTTTGTGGTACTGTTATGGCAGCTGGAGATAATGATGTGGAGACATAAAGGTAAATAAAATGGGATCAGATGGCTGAGAAGGAAAAGGTCAGACATTAAAAGATGAAAGAACAAATAAAGTATGTATTTCGAAAGGGGGAGAATAATGAGAGAAAGGAAAGGCTGAGCTCTAAAAAATAAGCACTGTTAATTTGCAATCTCTCTTCAGGGAACCTATTCTCAGGCATTAAAGTAAGAACTCGGGTATCTCTGGGGGCCAGGAGTAATGTGGTGAATGAGAGAAGCAAGCTGGGGGTAACACAATAAACTGGCCACTGGAGAGTGTAAGACCCATGCAGGAGAGGCAATCCACTGCCTCAGCTCCAGCTCAGGGATACCATGGATACCATGGAAGACTGTGGAACTGTGGCCCAGAACTTCAAATTATTTTCAAGAGAAGTAGGAAGTCTGCATTTATGTGAAATCTTTTTGTATTTGGGCAACTGAAAATTATACACATACGCACGCACGCACAGACACACACAGTGGACCCAACCAAAGATACTAGGACTGCATCTTGCTGGGCAGGCCCTAGTTTTTGACCTCTGTTCCAACCACAGAGTACCTACTGGCCTCAGGGTACCCCAGGCACTTTTACACTTTAGCTTCTGATGTCCTAACGTTTAGGTTCTTCTCTCTTTGTTCACCCTGTCTCAATATGGTCTTTAAGACTTACATGCTATCTTATATCTTTGGCTTTCACTGATCACTGCAGGAAAATCAGACTGTGTGATCCTCTCCACTTTTTCTAATAATCTATATATAATCTAACAGAAAATTATCTTGAAAACACATACATCGAGATGTTTGCTTGCAGCCAAGATGCAGTAACAGGGACTAGATATACTGCTTGCCTAAAACCACCACCAAAAAACAAACAAACAAGCAAAACCACGGACAAAATATATGAAACAACAGTTTTTAAGACAATAAATCATTGGCAACAAAGGACACTGATACCCAAGAGCTGGAGAATAAATGAGATGAACCCTATGGTCACCCATCTTACTACCTTGAGAGTTTCCAGGCCATAGCACAGGGAGATGAAGCCTGCATGGGTCCTGGTGGACTCCCTAGCAACTGAGGGTCTGAGGAGACAGAGGTAGTTAGAGTTCAGAGTGCCAGGGAGGAAAAAGCTTCAGAGTGACAGAATGGGAGGATCTGCAAAGGGTCACCCTTCAAGTATTCTGCAAGTACCGATGAATGGATGCATCTGAGGAAACTTCCCGAGGCCCGAACAGTGCCTGTTCCTACCAGCCAGGCTGGCAAACCTCATGACTCAGAGGGTGCTGCACAGAGTACCCAGACGGACTTGCGTCTGTAGTGAGGAATAATTAATGGCTCTCGTCCCAACTAACAAATCTTAAAAGCAAGACCTGAAAGGATCAAACTGTTCCGAAGTAGCTTAACTACATTCTAGAACAGAGCTTAAGGATATTTATAGAAATAGAGAAATATCTAGGAACCAACAGGTAAAAAATTTTAATGTATGGCATCCAATAAAAATTTATTAGGGGGGCAAAGAGATAGAAAAATACAACCTACAATGAGGATAAAAAAATAGAAACTGACCCAGAACGGACACAGGTGTTAGAATTATCATTAAAACAATGTTAGAAAAAACATTAAAACAGTTATTATAACTATATTGCACCTGCTCAAAAGGTTAAGCAGACACATGGAAGATAACTAGAAAACCCACAGTGAATTTCTAGAGATGAAAACTAAAATGCCTGAGGTGAGAAATATACTGGAAGGGATTAAAGTCAGAGTAGACACTGCAGACAAGAGATCAGATAACCTGAAGACACAGCAGTAGAAACTATTAATAGAAATTAAATGGAAGCCACAGCAATAGAAAGATGAAATACACACACAAAAAAAGAATTAAAAAGCATAAAGCATCAGTGAGCTGTGGGACACCTTTATGTGGCCTAATACACGTGTAATTGGAATCCTCAAAGAGGAGGAAAAAACAAAACAAAACTGAAGAAAAAAGGCTCAAATGTTCTAAATTTGATGAAAATATAAACCTACAGATCCAACCAACCCCCAGCACAAGAAACATAAAGAAAATTACAAGGCACATCATGATTAAATTGTGCAAAACCAGTGGTAGAGAGAAACCTTACAAGTAGCCAAAGTGGGGGAAAACACGCTATGTATGGAGGAACAAGATAAGAATAATAGTCTATTTCTTGTTGGAAAAAACTGCAGGTGAAAAGACAGCGGAGGAACATTTTTTAAAGTACTGGAAAAAAAGTGCAAATCTTTCAACACAGAATTTTATGCCAAGTGAAAATAGCTTTCAGAAACAAAGATGAGGGGCGCCTGGGTGGCGCAGTTGTTAAGCATCTGCCTTTTGTTCAGGTCATGATCCCAGGGTCCTGGGATCGAGCCCCACATCGGGCTCCCTGCTCGGCGGGGGGCCTGCTTCTCCCCCTCCCACTCCCCCTGCTTGTGTTCCCTCTCTTGCTGTGTCTCTCTGTCAAATAAATAAATAAAATCTTAAAAATAAAAAAAAGAAACAAAGATGAACTAGTTCCTTTCAGACAGTGAAAAATGAAGGCATTTTTAGCCAACACTACAAGCAATTTTGAAGGGAGTCCTCCAGGCATAAAGAAAATGACAGTAGGTGAAAATATAGATTTACACAAAGGAATTACAAAGTAACTGAAAATGGAAACAAAATGGGCAAATATTAAGATTTTCTTATGCAATCTCTTCAAAAGATGACAGCTTACTTATTTTTTTTTAAGACTTTATTTATTTGAGAGAGAGAGAGAACAAGAGAGAGCACAAGCAGAGGGAGCAGCAGGGGGAGAGAGAGAAGCAGATTTGCCGCTGAGCAGGGAGCCCGACGTGGGGCTCGATCCCAGGACCTTGAGATCATGACCTGAGCCAGAGGCAGATGCTTAACCAACTGAGCCATGCAAACGCCCCAAAAGATGACAGTTTAAACAAAAATAATAACATACTGAGGGGTTTATAACTTAAATAAATGTGTGACCATAGAAGCATGAAGGTCAGGAAGGAAGATATGGAGGTGTACCATCTTAATATACTGTGTGATA